ATATACAGGGTGCTTCAAAAAAATGTATACACACTTTGAACTTCCATAGAAAATTTATTTACCGTTCTACAAAGTTAAATTTCAGGAAAATAGAAAGCTGAAAGTCCAATGTAAATGAAACATAAATAACAAATGTTAATACTGTTCAAATTGGTGACCTACAGCATCAATACAATTCTGAGTACGAGTCACCACAGATTCTGTACATCGTATCAAAACGTCCAATGAGATTTCTCTACACACTGCTTGAATCTCATTCCAAAGAATGTCTAGGTTACGTGGTTTACGTTTGTACACCTCATCTTTTACTGTGCCCCACAAGAAGAAATCCAGTGGTGTAAGGTCTGGAGAGCGTGCTGGAAACTCGATTGGCCCCCTGCGTCCTATCCACTGGCCCGACAAATTTTGATCCAGGTAAGCTCGTACGTCCCTGTGATAGTGCGGCGGAGCACCATCTTGTTGAAAATAAAAATCATCATTACCGTATAATGCACGAATGGCAGGAAATATGGAATCAGCAAGCATTGTTAGGTAATTAATACCAGTTACAGTGCCTTCAAATCGAAAAGGTCCAATGAGTCCCCTTGAAGACAAACCGCACCACACATTTACACCAGGCAAATTTACAGCTTTTTCAATTGTAATGTGAGGATTTTCTTCACCCCAGTAAACACAATTGTGCCTATTGACAGTTCCATTAAGTTTGAATTGGGCTTCATCCGACCAAATGATGCTACCCATAAATCCCGGTTCACGTATCACGTTTTGATACGATGTACAGAATCTGTGGTGACTCGTACTCAGAATTGTATTGATGCTGTAGGTCACCAATTTGAACAGTATTAACATTTGTTATTTATGTTTCATTTACATTGGACTTTCAGCTTTCTATTTTCCTGAAATTTAACTTTGTAGAACGGTAAATAAATTTTCTATGGAAGTTCAGTGTGTATACATTTTTTTGAAGCACCCTGTATATATATAATGTATATCTATCATTTATGCGTAGGTGAAAGATTCTACAGCTTTGGATGTGGAGAGACAGTACTCTTCTTTGGAAAATGTCAAGATCTGCTCTACAAATTGAGAACATGTCCTCTAAGCATAAAAATTTACATGAAAGAATATATTCTTGGGTCAGTTTCAATCCCTTGGAAAGATAATTTTATAAAAATTGTCGCACTTCATGGCTTAAGTGACGACGAAACCATAATTCCAGCAGCAACGACCGATAGTTACGATTTTTTTTTGAATAATGGTGAAGATTTTATGGGATCAATTGATATAACAGTTCGACTTTTTTGCTTACACAAGTGTATCGAGCGCGACATAAGAAAAATAATGGATAAAGATACGAAAAGTTCTCGTACAAAGTTTTTATTTAAAAGCCAAGATGAGAAGGCAACTTTCATTGTTCAAAAGTAAGTAAGTAACAAAAAAATAGAAAATTCATAATTATTTAAAACATTGCGGATTTTATTATTAAAGTTATTACTGCTTCAACGAGGAAAATTCAGCAGCATATGTTAGGGACAGTCTAATAAATTGAGAATTATTGTTATTGTAATAAATACTGGTCATTATTAATAATAACCAACAAATCAAGTCTAAGTGATTTATCTATCACATTTTGACCAGCTTTTATTAATACCCGTGGTATGTTTAATGGAATTGAAAACGCAGTAGCGTTTGTGTGGTTGGATTAGGTTTTGCAATTGTAGCCTATTTCGTTCAAATATTCCTACATTGTATACTACACAGGCTGTTTGCTAAACATGCTGCAAAAATCCAAAGGGTGAGTCTTGACGGAAAGTTTCTATGGGAGTTAACGCTCATTTAAATGGGTCACGATGGACAAGAGTTTTCCTTAATATTTTCGATAGGTACTGGAATTTAAATATAATAAGCATTAGTACAGTCCGTTGGCCCGAAGCTGGATCGGTGGAAGGTAATTCGGGGGTAGGAATTGTAATGCGTAGAAAAGTAGGGCAATGTAAAAAAAATCGATAGGATAGTTATGGTTAAATTAAACTCGAAACCGGTAAAAACGTTATTAGTGCAGGTATATATGCTTACATCATTTTACAATGATACGAAGGGTGGTGCCATATAACATCTCGGCTGGTGTAGCTTTAAGATATTCTATGTAACTGGTTCTCACTCTTAACAAAATTGTTGAAAGTATTTTGGTCCATGGTTCAGGTTCTGTGTTCTGTGCCATCTCTCTACTATCTTATTAGAAGGGATGCCAAGGAGTAGTACGATCTGTTTTAGCACCTATGAATCTTGCTATTGCCTGGAAAAGCTCTGATTCAACTTGAGATCTTTGATCGGAGGTTATGTTAACTGGTGTTCCATAATGAGTTACCCAGTGATCGAATAATGCCGTCGTAATAGTGTCAGCATTGATGTCCTTCAGAAGAACCGCGACGGGCTATCTTGAAAAACGATCGATGATGGTTAGACAATATTGGTATTCGTCAACATTAGGAACAAACATAATATCAAAATGAATATGATTGAAGCAACTATCTGGGACTTCAATAGCATTAGGCCTGAGCTAATTATGCCAATGGGTTTTTGCCCTCTAACAAGGCAAGCATTCACGAAACCACTGAAGGGCAATATTTTTCACGAAGTGTGCGAGATGTTGCTTCTTTTGCTAGGATGAGAGAGAGACCGTGAACTACGTTGAATGCAGTTTTCTTAATAGATCTTGGAATGTAAGGACAAAGAATGTTCTTTGTAATGTTACAATAAATTTTAACACCTTCTATTTCAAACTGCTGAAGTTTGAGTGAAGTTGTGTTTAGTTCACCACTGTCAAGTTACTTGTTAATTTCGGATTTTGTTGCAGTCGCCTTTTCTTCAGATAATTTTCGAGTCCTTTCTGTAATTGGCAGTCCAGTTGATATGATTCTGTGCGCATGACGTCGTAAGTTTGGTTATGGTATCTATGAGATTTTTATTTTGTAAATCTATATGAAGTCCATAACGAGATAGGAAATCAGCTCCAATTATTGCAAATGAAATGTCAGCACTGATAAAGGACCATGAGAAATTTCATCGTAGACTGAGTTCAAGATTAAGAGTTTTTGTCCCAAATGTATTAATTTTGGTAGAATTAGCTGCAAAAAGTGTTAAATCATTTCAAAGCTCATTTGTTCGGAAAAGACTTGAAGGGACTATTGATACAACAGAGCCTGAGTCTATCAAAAATTTTTGATTGGTGTTTCTATCATAAATATGGAGACGGAGCTCTTTAGGTGGTAGATTACCGCTGTCACCAACAGCTCCAACTGATGCCAGCGAATTTAGTTTCCTGATTTCTTGAATTTCTGTCGAAATTGTATGGGGTGGTACAAAATTTAGCTGCATTTCCAAATTTCTGGCGATAATAACAGACGCCTTGATCATTATGACTTCGATTTCTTGTTTTTGAACTGCTTCTGAATTGTTGTTGTGCTTGAACGAACTGTTGTTGTTAAAATTGTGGAAACTGTGGAAAAACTTGAAGTTGACCTTGAGATATTTGTTGCAGCTGTTGTGAGAATTGAATTTTTTGATCATTTACAGCTTTGAGTCCTCGAAAACAAGCGGACAACATTTCTTGAGTTTCATCAATCTTTTTCTCTAAATCTTTATGAATTTCATTAGGAGAATTGATGCGATCTACTGTAGTCGCTGTTGACATGACGAATGAACCTCGAGTATCCATTATACGGTCTGCAACCTTAGCTAAAGTCTCTAAATTTTCACCGTCATTAATTACCAGGACTGTTCGAATGTCAGTAGGTAAGCAATGTAGCTGAAGTTGATGCGTCAATGGGTCAAAAGTATCAGTGTGATCAGTTGCTTTGGTTGGCGTGTGTACTAGAGACATCAAGAGTTTACCACTACAATCATATATTACTTCTGTCCATTCGGCAGATATTTTTCGGACGAAGAAAAAAACGTTACAATGTATACTTCAACGTATTCAATACGTATTGATTAGGAGAACATATTTCATAACGCCCAATGAGACATTTATGTCGTTTAGAACAACCAAAATCTAAAGTTTCGAAGAATTAGACAGAGGGTAATTTTCCGTAAGGATCTAGTGGACTTTTTTACATAAAAAGTATTAAAACGTGCATTCTAAAACAATGGCCCGAGTATTTTTGAATCGATGAAGGTGATCTGTTTTATAAATTAATGTGGAACATGGAATTTGAAAAAGACTACCATCTGGACATTGGGACATCGCATTTGAAGAAACCATAAGGCGGTCAACTTTAAATGTAGAACTTATATGTGCAATCGCTTTTACAGTTGACATTATGCTGGATATTATAAAATCATCATCATAAGGTCATCAGTCCTAAGTCTGGTTGGACATGCACCTTCACCTTCCAATCCTGAGCTAATCTTCGCATTTCCCTAAAACTAGAGCATCCTACATCCTTAACTATTTGCGAACAGGAATCTAATCTAGGTTTATCTCTACCCCTCCTAACTCTCGTTTCTGCCTTTAGTACGTCTCTGACTAGATCTTCATACTTGAAAAGGTGTCCTACCAACCAGTCTCGCCTATTTCTTATTGACTTCCATGGAGTCCTCTGTTCTCTTATTTTTTCTAATACCTCTTCATTTGTAACCTTCTCTATCCACGGTATCCTCATCATTCGCTTATAACACTACATTTCGAACGCTGCTAACCTTTTCTTTTCCGCAGCGCCCATGGTCCACGTTTCGCTCCCGTACAGCGCCGAGTTCCAAACGTACACCTTTAGCAACATTTTTCGAATTTATAAACCGTTCGCGATTATATAAGTGACTTCTGTTTTTTGAATTCGAATCGACCCTGCGCTATCCTCTGCTTTATATCTCTACTACTCCTTCCATTCTGACTTATCTGATCCTAGATAGTTAAAATCAGCCACTTCTTCAAATTTTTCGTCCCCTATCTTTACATTCGCTCTTTCCCTACTTTTTCATTAAAGCAAAAGCATAATTTATTAAACAAGCATTATTATAAGCAGCTTCAAAAATATTTCCAGCTCTATTATCTAAAAACGATTTAATGTAGATTTCGTAAACTAGTTAAAGCACATATCATTTTCTTCCGTTATAGTTTCGATCAGCAAAGAAATACAAATAAGTTTTTCTATACCTTGGTGGAGTAATATAAGTAGATCAAAAATGTGTCGAGTGTTTATAAACATGTGGACTTATTATCTGAAGGATAGAAGCTAAAATCATGATAACGTTCGAATAACGATATCTAACTTTGATTGATGTATGTAATTTTAGTTTTCCATTGCATTTAAATTATTTAATTATTAAATAATAGGTTTTTTACTTCAGCTAGGTACATTATTAAAGTTAAAGGGAGTCTCTAAATTGGACGTAATTTTAGAGTATTTGCATTTTGCAGCCATACAAAAATGTTTCTACTTTTAAATCAGAATTTATTATTGCAGAATATTGTCACGTATTTAAATTCCTTCTCACACTACCATTACTATTATTTAACAATTTACTGTCCAAATAAGATTTCTATCATCAATTAGTTAACAATTCACCACTTTATCACTTCTTCGCTGTTTATTCTCTTTTTATCGCCCCGAACTCTCTGACTCGTACTAACTAATCCGACAGAAAAACTTTTGGGCGTTTCATTCTCGCCAGCCACTAATGCTGGTGGGCGGGCAGTCCCACCGGTCTACGCCGGCAGGTAGAGCGAAAGGCCCCTTCCAGCCTCCTTTAAGGAATCGTGGGAATGGATGGGTGGTGGTTCGGGTGAGAAAGATGAAACGCACGAAATGAAGACAAAAGAGAACGAAAGATTAGTTGTGGAATATTACTGTCCCAGGTATTTGCCTAAGTGATCCAAGGAAACCACAGAAAAACTTGGACCGAGGCAGACAGACCCGGAATCGAACCGGCGACCTCCCGAATGCTAAGCAATGGTATAGACCAGAGAAAGATGAGACGGACGAAATGAAGACAGAAGAGAATGAAAGATTATCTGTGGAATATTACTGTCCCTACATTTGTCTAAGTGATCCAAGGAAACCACAGAAAAACTAGGACTGAGGCAGACTGACCCGGAATTGATCCGGCGTCCTCCCGAATGCTTAAGCAATGATCTAAACTTCTATGCCACGCCGCTCGGTACTAACTCGAAAAAAAAAAATTTTTTTTGGGTGTTTCATTCCCACCAGCCGTTAATGTTGGTGGGCGGGCAGAAAGGTTATCGAAATAGTGAAACGATGCAACATCTTCAACAAAAGATGGGAAAGATGAATAATCTTGGCTATTGACCTTGAGTCGCGCCACTATCAGACAACAGCGATGCTCAAAGAAGCGGAAGCTGCTCACGTATATTTTGTCTATTTGTTGGAAAAACATTAATTCGTTTTCTATAATGTCATATAGCAACGAAATTATATATATTTACATAAAAATATAATTACTATAACCTAATAATATAAGCTATATGTAATTTAGAATAACTTAGTCAATAATTTATCTAACAAATTCATGAAGCTAATAATCATAATCAATAAATAATTGAATAATATAATAATATTAGTCTACCTGATTATATAATTGGGGAACGTAGAAAGTGACAAAAAACTATCACAGGGTGAGTGAAGACATACAAGCTGCCTCATCATCCCCTATTATTTGTTTCTTCATGATCTTTGATTTGATCCACCTATTATCATTTTTTAGATACGCTATTTAAACGGTCGCTAATTGATCTACTAAGCCACTATATAAGTAGGTGTTAGCCTGCAGTTTTACATAAATAATTTAGATGTATCAAGTTTGTACCAGTGACCTAAATAGGAATTTATGGTTGGTTATAACAATAAAACAATTTTTTTAACACTAAATTAAAATAAAGAAGCAGAACCTCACGTTCTTATTAGTGCTTCAAGAAACGACTCCGTCGGTATTCTTACCGGGAGAGAAGTAATTCTCTTCCTTTGGTTTTGCCTTCTGTTCTTTTCGATTCTTGAGTGTGTGTCTACGGAATTTCAGTCTTCTCTATACATTCTCCCCACTCACCTCCCTCCTCCCTCCCCTCCTTCTTCTTCTATATTTCATCTTTTTTAGTACTCTCTTTTCTGTAATATCCGTAATACTGGAATCTTTGACACAAGCTCTGCTTTCATTTGCAAAATAACGACCCACTGAAGGCCTCTTGAGGCAATAATAATGTGTGCTCAGCACTAGAATCTTTCTTAGTAAATGCAATTGGGAATACATATAAATAAACTGATGTATGTCGGTATTCTGGCTTTTAGTAGATCCGACATTTTTTCTCAACTTCTTTTCATCATAATGGATAGTTAAAATCGGAATTAATATCTCTGTTTGTATTTATGGTTAATAATGAACTCATTGCACGCTTATCTTCGAAAGGTCACAATAGTTTAAAATTCATTTTATCTAATGGAATGGTTAAGATTTTCATATCCGACGTTATTTGAAGGGGGCTTGACATTCGGGCTTGATGACCGTGGTCCAGAATTAATTTTCTTCGTTCAGTGAATGCGCGATTGAGTAGTCTATTTTATCTGACGCTACGTTCCCCGAGGAAGTCAATCATAGCAGCTGGTGAGACGAGGCAGCTCCGTCTCATCTACATATACTGGATAGACTGGTGACGCTGAATTCTGTACCAGAAGGAAACATGTTCTATTAGTATGTGTAAAAGAACGTCAGACTAGTTAGTATATAAGTGTGTGCGACATCCATGGACTTGCCGGAGGAGAACCAATTCTGGACCACAGCTATCAATCCAGGCTATCGAACCCTCTATTTAGTTGTGATTTTAAGCAAGGCTTGAGATGATAATTACTAATTAGAATTGAAATATGGTAGTTAGAAATGTTGCTTACCTTTTATAAAAAATATGTTTAAATTGTCCGCCATTCGCTTCAATGCAACACTGATGACAGCGACGTTTCAAATTATACCATAGGCATTGGTATTGTAATTCACCACCAACTGACGGTTGAATGAGAAACCTACTATAATGAAATGACCCCTAATTAAATAAACTAACACTAACAAACAAGTAAATTCTACAACAATCCAAAGCGAACTGAACAACCTGTTAGAATCTACAACATTATGTGTCTTTTTTTCGAGTCACTTCCAGCAGTTTAATTATTAGAGGATATATCAATATTTAGTTTTTACATTTAATGAAAACAAAATAACCAACTTAGTCCTTCTGGACACTTCCTTGTATTACCTCACGTGGGGTTAATGAGCCCTGCCAGGCAAAACTAACGTTTAACCCATGTGAATGGTCAAAGTAGGTCTGCATCTTGTCTCAACTTTTACAACCATAACACATACATTTGTTTTCGTACACTAGTACGTTATGTTACAAAACTTTACCAAACGCTGGGTGGTGAGGGTTGTTTGTGCACCGCTTCTAACTATTCCGCAGTTGTTAAAATTTCTTTTCTATTTAAAATAACATAATACTCGACGTTATGGGCTACATTTGGTCCATTTCAGTTTACGATTATGTGATTTCCGATTGTGATAGGTACGTAGTTTTTCTAACATGTTCAGTCATCTAATAGACCTTAACGCGAGTGCAATTTCTTCGGATGATCCGCAACTTAATACCAAATATAAACAATAACATTACCCCAAAAAGCAGCTGATTCCGACCTACTAAAGGTGAATCTTTCTACGATCAGCTGGAATCGTAATTAATTTGCGATTGTGCAGGGTCGGCATCAAAACTGCTATAATTTTATAATTTTTTATTTTGTTTCAAAAGTCAGAACTGTTATAACATTTTATGTTCCAAATGTCTGTAGGAATCTGTGGTATAAATATTAATTATTATAACTGGGACACCCTATATACATATATTTGTTATAAGTTATACAGAGAAGACCTGTTTCGCAATATAATCTCTCAGACAATCCTTTATTTCGATTTGCAGTTAATAATTTTCTTTTGTGGATGCTTTTTGAGAGAAAGACCAACATATAAGATTTTTAAGCACATCAATACTACACATAGTTTTTATTTAATTTAATGGAAAAACACTAAAAAGTACTTTTACTATTTCATTATTTACAGTTAGACTAAATACGTATTAACTTGTTTTGTTATTATTAGATGTGGGATTGACGTCTTCTCAGAGACTGTACCAGTCGTGCCTTTATATACTCCGGGAGGCGCAGATGAAGGTGACGAAAAAGCTTGGCAGTCTCTATACGAATCTGACCTGAACGATACAGCAAGTATAGCACCAAATATGTTCTTCAACGAGACTCCAGATGCAAATGTCATCAAATTAAAAAGCGACGATGAAGGTAAAAACCTTATAATTACGGAAAAACGGTTTGATTTACAAAAGGATGAAAACGAACCTTGTACACGTACAACCGAATCGTTGGAAAAACTACTTTGTAAAAACCCTGACTGCCCAGCAGTGAGAAAGTTTAAGGAATATGGCATAGGTCCTCTGGCTACTACTAACGGTATAGGTTGTCTCACCGGTAAAGTGGATGTACCATTAAAGTATGGAATCAGTCAAACTTACGGCGTATTTAAATGTTACGGCCCTTATGGACTCCTCACGAATGTGGATTCACATGATGAATTAAATGAATATAAAGAAAGTAAAACGTTCAGTGGTAGTTGTAAATTGAGTGATGATTTGTTAAAATTACAAGGGGGAAACATGTATTACTCAATACCTCTGAGATTAAAAGGTGGTGCACCTATTAGTGACACAATTGCAAGAGTCGCAGAACCAATTGCAGCCTGTAAAACATTAATGCAACAAATGGACGACGTTGTAACGGCTTTTAAAGAGGCTTTAGGTCCCTGCGGTAAAGCAACTTGTCGTTTTAATGCAAATGTAGCTAAAGAAAGCTGTAAACAAGTTTGCGCAGCCCCAAAAGAAGACAATGTTTGTGTACCTGAAAGTACAGCAGCCTGTGGTTCTGCAACATGTCCGTATACAAAGTTACGACAAGAAAATGAATTAGATTATGATGCACTTATGGAACTGCAGCTAATGGATTCCGAAATGGTAAAAAGCTGTGGGTCACCTCAATGTCCATTTCCGCTGGCACCTCCTCTCGAGCCTATTCACTGGGAGTGTCCAGATCCATTGCCAAAGAAAGGACAATGTAAAAATGTAAACTGCCCTTATAAACCAAAAGAGCCTCCTCGTATACCTAGAGAAGGATTATGTGGCAGTAAAAATTGTCCTTATGCTCCTCCAAGATCTTGTGGAAATCCAAAATGTCCTTTCCAAAAACGAAAACCATGTCCTTACGGCGATGAAGAATTGTCCGCATGTAGCAACCCAAGTTGTGTTCTTAACAAACAAAAAAAGCCAGCTGCTTGCTCTAACCCTGTATGTCCGAATGCTAGCAGCAGAAAGCCTAACGTTCCTGGAAATCCAGGTTGTCCCGGAGTACCTTCCGACGAATGTTTCATTCAAACATGTGACAATCCAGAATGTCAATTTAAAAATTCAAATGGACCTCCTTCGTGTTCAGAAGGAGTATCTACTGCTGGTGTCCGTACGAATTGTTCAAACTGTCCGTCTAGTATTGCAAAAGTAAATACGCCAACGGGCTGCCCCTGCTCTAATAAAACATTAAATAATAACAGCAATTGTGCGCCTTCAACGCAGAACATAAACAACGAGAACAAAGGGAAAATTCAATCTAATGTTAACAAATGTGGCTCATTCAATGAATCTTTACAAGAACAAAATGCGGGATCCTTTGTTTGTGATGATCCATGTTGCCCGTACATATTACCTATTTGTTGTTGTTGCGGTAAGATTTTCGTACCATGCCCTCCTCCTTGTCCGCCACCACCCTCGTGTTCTCCATGCAAGGGAGCCTGTGGAACATGCGAAGAATCATGTAGTCCCTGCCCGCAACCGTGCCCTCCTCCGCCTCCTTGTCCTCCTGGTTATCCAATATGTCCTGAATGTATGGGCTACAAACCACAGTCAGATAACGCCAACGTCTGCGACTCCGCTACTTGTGCTGCAGCTGATGGTAGTGCTAGATGTACAGAATGTAAAGGTTCCGTTCCAGCAGCCGCTGGTGACAACATGCCATCTAGTAATAAAGCTCTCAGAAAGTCTCGAGAGGAAATGACCAAATCTGGACAAGGTGATGAAACCATTCGGTCTGATAAAAATAGAAACAGTGAAAGTAACAAGAAAAAGAATACCACTAATTTGACGGAGAAAAAACCAAAAAAACTGAAAAAGAAGCCGGACGCAATTAGCGATCGCTATCCCGGTGTTAAAATTGGGCATCAATTTTGCTGCATGCCTGGATTTAAAGTTCCTAGAAGGCAAGGTTGGTTATGGAACACGTATGTTCCATGTGTCGGTTTAAAGGTATGCATACATTCTCATTTGTATAAATAAGTTATAAAAAAAAGAATACCTCCATTGTAGTGTTATGTCGTTATGCCACAATAGGTTATACTACTGTTCTCGATGTAATGTCTTATGCTAGTTGTTAAGACCGTTCTTTTTGATGCAGGTCATAAAGTTCCTGCATGCAGTTTTTAAAATACTTTGCAAAGCTACAAGGCGGCGTTGTGTTTATTTGAGAGTAGACCCTTCGAGGATGGGTAGATAAATCAGTTAACTAGTTTATGGAGGTAACGGTTTAGAAAGGATCCTTTACGATCCCTAATACAGTTTCATTTTATTATAGGGTGTTTATTTTATGAGTTTACCGTTTAGAAAGAGCCGTTTGTTGATTTTTTGATGTAGATTTTTTACAGATTGTAAACATCCCTCTTTCAATATTTTTGAGTTTCAAAGCCCCGCCTTGTACGTCTCCACAGAGTGGTTTTAAAGGGTTAATCACCAACGGTGACATTCGCCACACCCTTGACATTTGTTCCTAGTTTTAAGTTCTAGATATAAGATGTGACCAAGGACTTTAATAGCAGCGTACCGAGCGGCATGGCCAAGAGGTTTAGACCATTGTTTAGCATTCGGGAGGACGCCGGTTCGATTCCGGGTCCGTCTGCCTTGGTCCAAGTTTTTCTGTGGTTTCCTTGGATCACTTAGGCAAATGCTGAGGCAGTAATATTCCACAGATAATCTTTCA